TGTTATTAACCACTAACATGCAAAACGAAAAGTATTTTGTTTAAAACATATATTGAAACGAAAAAAAGCCTTACAACTGACTGAACTCGTCGTAGATAAGATTTTGTGATTTTATCTTTGTAGAAGCTTAATTTACCATAATACCATAATCTACCATAATGTAGATAGTTCATTGTCAAAGCATCCTATAATAGCAGGGTGACTTTACGGAGGTTAATTGTGTATTCAACAGATCATGGGGTTGGTAAATTTTGAGTGATTTTGTTTAATATTTGATGTATCATTTATTTACTATTACAAAGACAAATGTAGTATTGAAAATTACCTTGGTAAAACTTTCCTCTATTCGTGAACTATTTTGTGATTATAATAATAATAAATTGGGAAGTTTATGGGCCGATAAACAGCTGAGGTCATCTCCGGCCCTCTGCGTTTTCCTTCTTTTTCTCTTTTTTCGCGCGTATTTTGTTTTAAACTACAGCCATTTGAGCGTCCGGATCTGGTTACTGACTCTCTGATTTCAAATATATACTTCGTAGATATCCTAGAATGCTAGTCTCTGGTTTGTACCTCAGGTTGTCAAATACAGAATAGAAACAAAACATACAATACATGTACATACATCATCACAAACATAGGTGTCTGGTCACATTCACTCCCCCAGAGTACTCGATATTCCTCGGGACGGGGTTATAAGCAACCGCTTCCTTTCACGCTAATAAATTACTTTTACTCTCCAGACGTCATACACTCACCCTAGAGTACTCGATATTCCTCGGGGCGGGACTATAAGCTACATTTTCCTTTCACGCTAATAAATTACATTCATTACAATAAACTAACACCAACACAACACTCGATAGAAACATAGAAGTCTGGTCACATTCACTCTCTCAGTGTACTCGATATTCCTCGGGGCGGGGTTGAACCCACTCTTACTTTTACTCACCAGGCGTCACACACTCAACCCAGAGTACTGGATATTTCTCGGGGCGGGTTTCGTTATTATATTTTCCCATTCTTTAAAAACATTATCTCTCGTGGATTTACCAAAGGGCGTTTCCCTTGAAACTAACTTAATAGTTCACCCTGATTTTTTGTATACCAATTTAGAAGCGAAAACTAAAGTTGACACAGTCTGCACACTTGGCCAAATCTTTTGTTCTAGTTAATATAACTCGTCTTGTCAGTAAAGTCATGTTTTATGGAAGGTTTATGGCTCTTTTGTCATGGATTCAAAGCTATTTAACGGAACTCTAAACAATTTAAAGCTACCAGTGGTGTACGTCAAGGGTCGCACCTCGGTCCTTTATTTTTTGTCATTTATGTAAATGATATCGCAGATGTTTTTTCCGACGTGAAATTTACTCCACGCAGATTGACATAAAAATCTAATGCTCAATTAAATCTATTACATGCACGTACTTCAAGGAAATTTAACTTAATATGTGGTGTGCTGACAATGGCTTAAAAATCAAAATAAATAAATGTTCGTTTATTAGTATCTCTCTAAAAACAAACCCTATCCCAACATCCTACAAATTAATAACCAGGTATTGGAAAAATCTTTACCTTTTACTGATCTAGGTATAATCTTTAATGATCGCTTATCCTTTTCAAATCATACATTTCATTTCATTTCCTTGATAATAAAGCTATTAGGCAACTAGCTCTTATAATTAGAACTCATAGAGATTTCAAAAATCATAATTATAATAATACTTTTATAAATCATTAGTCCAATCCCTATTAAAATATTGCTCAACTGCTCAATAGTGTGGTCTCCTTATTTAATAATTCTCAGAAATTCTTTATTTTTTAGATATATATATTTTTTAAAAGGAGGAAATCTGGAAAATTGCAATTTTAAAATACATTACGGGTCAATATGCAATTTAGCAACACTAAGTTAGTTTCTTATACAATTTTTTAAAAATAGATTATCCAGAATTTACTTTCGAAATTTAATATCAACTTTTCCCTTAGCTATAACTTTAGAAATCTAAATTCTTTCTTCATTCATTAACACAGAACTAATTACGCTTATGGACAGAATTCAAAGAATATCTAATAAACTGCCTGGTGACGTCGATAATTTTCATAACTTTTTAAAATATTTTAAAACGTGTGGTTTAATGCTATATTTTAATTTGTTGAAGTCGTGAGGAACGGTCAGGTATGAAGTATTTTAGAAAAACACCTTTTTCATTTTTTGCCGACGTTTCGACATTTATTCGGAGCATCTTCAGGGCCCGGGTGAATTACATTGATTGGAAAAAATACAATACAGATGTAAATAATATAAATTTTGAACCAAGTATTTCACACACGCATAAAGTGTGGTGCCATTTGTTCAGTGTGAAATTGTTGTGAAACGTGAGTTTGTATTATACTGTTTTTAAGTTTCTGTGACAGGGTGGGAACGCGTTAAATACGTCAAATTTTCTTTGATCAAAGGCGGTTTTATTTGACTGGAGGAAGTCGAGAATGGGGATTTTTTCGATTAGATTTGTGATTCGGATTATTCAATATTGGAAAGGACGTTAATTTATCATGGACGATAACGAAGGAAAGGGAAATATAAAAATAAAGTTTAATGATTTGTTTGCTTTATGATATAGGCGTAGCTACGTCTGAGTTTGCATGCCTGCCCTAAAAATTTAATGCGTGTGGGTCTCTCTTATCGCACCATTTCTAGAAAGTTGCATTATTTTTTCAATCCTTTAGGTTTCGTGGTCCGATTGACTAAATAAATTCTTTTCAATTAATTAATCTTTATGTAAGGCATTAGTTGAGATAAAAAAGTCAGTGTCACAAGCGGGATTCGAACCCACGACCTAAATACGCCGCTGCGAGCTATCGTGACTTCGATCCACTCGGACACCAACTCTCCATCTCAACCAACAACCTTTCGAATTTTCCCTCCTTTTTGCCATTTTTCAAATGTGTAATCTATTCGATTCTCGACGACAAATGAATTGGCCGCGGGGAGCTTTAATGAAGATATACTTCATTTTACTTATTAAATCCATTAGGTTTCGTGGTCCGATTGACCAAATAAATTCTTTTCAATTAATTAATCTTTAAGTAAGTATTGGATGAGATAAATTCGAATCCCGCTCGTGACACTGACTTTTTTATCTTAACCAATACCTTACTTAAAGGTTATTAAATCGAAAATGTTTACTATTTGTATTTTGTCGAAATCAAAGTTGTTGTTTTTTTTGTTTTTTTAATGGCGTGTCGTGTGATTAGTTTTTGGTGTTTTACGGTCATAGATGTGTTTCTCTTCCAGATATCGCGATGTAATTCCATCGTATGTAGCTGGACAGTCCATGCAATTAATTTTATAAACTACATCGGATTAGTAGTTGGTGTTGGGTCTTTCACTTAAAAAAAGGAGTGTACTGTTTTGCGGTTTTTGAAGGCTTTTTTAACGTGGTCTGAGGGTCTGAGTTGAGAAGTGCACTCAATCTGCGTATCAATGTGTGGACGAATGGATTGGACATGTACATTGGTTAGAAATGATAAATGATAGAGTGAGTATGTTGTTCAATCTTTTTAAAAAGATGGTTCTCTCACAATTCATATCGAGAGACGTGGTTGAGAGACGTCATATGTAAGGTATCAACCTGATGATGAGCTATAAGCTTGAAATCCGCATCGTCGAAAACAACTAACTGTGAGGAGGAACAATCTTTTTAAAGTCTTTAGGTTGATGTATCGTGAACTGTGTATCATGTAAGTGTAGTGTTGGGTAGTAATATGATTATATATATGACTATATATATGATTATATATATGATGTTTGTTGATCGACCTGCAGACAATCTACGTAGGGTTCCAATCTTCGTAGAGGTCATTAGACGAGTGTATTTATTTAAATTTGTAATAAAATAGGCCCTGATGATGGCACTATAAGGTGCCGAAAGCTCGGTGAACCCAGCATTTAGTCATTTTTTCACCCGTCTAATGACCTCTACGAACATTGGAACCCTACATGATTATATATATTTGATATATATATAATCTGGCTTATGATTCTATTATGTTTTTAGTATAGTTGTTGTTATGTAAGATTTGTTTGTATATTTTTTTGGTGAAAGGATTCATGACTTAGGGATAGGCTGTGTAATCCCTTAGTACGTACGGATTATAATATTTTCGTTTTTCTTTAGAATCCTGTTTATAAAATTGTTCATCTCATTTATTCATTTTGTTTGCACTTCTGTGCATTTCACTATTGCTCAGTTATTATTTGTATTTAACTTATGTTTACTTTTTCTATGAGTTTTTAGAAACACGTGTTTTTTTCCATTTATATAAAAGGCTTAAACCGTTAATTATTGTAAATAAAAAATAAATATGTATTAATTCAGTAGGTTTTCTTGTTTCAATGTTTTTTTTTCGATGTCTGCCGGAAAGTGTACCATTTGAACATTTTCATGTTTTCAGGATGTGCGTTTAACAGGTTGATGAATAAGCTGTTTTCTGATGGTGTTTCTAAATTCTCGACCAAATGTTTTAGACTGTTTCAATATGAAAAAATGTTATTACAATATAATTTTCGTAAAAAAAATTAAAATGACTAAGACTGCAAACCACGAGAGTCTGAATGCAGATCTCGACCTCGCAGAAAATGCAAACAAGACGGGTTTGCCCAGGCATAAAATTCATAGGCTAATTGAATTTATAATCCTGAAAGGAGGGTTTGTCGTTTATTTTTGGTTCAAGGGTCGAGATTAGGAAAAAAGGTGTTTTACGAGAGAGTTGAGTTAAAATCAGACTATGATGGGGGAGATTCGACGAGACGGAGCGGACCCAGAGGAGGTGGGGCCTGTTGAAACCTTCCGATTCAATTTCAAAATTGAAATTCAGAAATTAGAATCACAAGGTGCGTTGACGATTGCCAACTTAGGCGGAGGGAGCTGAGGGCGACTTTGGGGATTTGAACGGGAGGGTGTGAAGAGGTGCGAAAAGAGGAAAAAGAAGCGGCTTACCAAAACTTTGGTGAATCTCCTTTCGAGCTCCGTCTGGTCAGAAGGGACGGGGAGTTTGGCCCGGACGCTCCCCCTGACGTGCACCGTCCTGTAGAGGTCCACAGGCGGAGGCGGGTGGCCCTCGGGCTCCTTGCCGCTGGTCGTGTTGCCCATCGCGCCGAAGTCACCGCGATCACATATCACACCGGTATCGCACAGTCGCCCGGCGGAGGCGAGATTCCGCGGATCAGTTGTCAGGATCAACAGGTTGGCGATCGTACGCTCCCTGCCAAGGCATCACAACGCAGAACTGCTCGGTTTGGAATGCTGCCGGTTTCCGACTGTGGAGAGCCGCTTCGACTGCGCAACTCCTCGACACAGCGCGCCCCGGCGGACCCCACACGCACTCTCCTCTCATTCCTTCAATTCCTGACGCGTCGCGACATCTAGGGTCAGAACCACCAACTGTGGAAACAACAGAGAAACTAGCAGTTCAGGGTAGAAGGTGGAAGATCTGGAAAAATAAGGTTTTCCTTTCCTAGATAAGGTCTGGTCTAGTACAATCTCAAGGTTCTTGACAGGACAGAGAGAAATATGGTGATTGTTACTGGTACACGGAGGAATAAAAGGTAAGGATTGGGGGTGATATGTGATCCAAACACAATGGCATGAGACTTTAAGGTTAAGAAAGACATTAACGTTAAAAAAACATTAAGGTTAAGTCATTCGAAGAAGCCACAACACTCCTCGAAGACCTTAAAGAGTGGAACCAAAAAATGGGAAAGCGAGAAGCTAAATAAAGGCTTGCCTTCAAAATCGACAACCCCTAGGCGCCTGTGTGAATAGTTCACATTTTGCTGTTTGTAATGAATGGTTAAGTGGACAAAAATCAAAAATAAATTAAGATCCCATTTTGTCCTCCTTACCTTTTATTCTTCCGTTAACCATTAACAAACACCCTATTTCTTTCTGTCCTACTGTCAAGAACCTTGGGATTGTACTTGACCAGAACTTAGCTTGGAAACCTTCATTTTCCCAGACTTGTGCCACCTTCTACCCATCAGTAACCTAAACTCCTAGTTTCTCTCTAATCCTCTCACACTTTGAATATGGATGTGTGGTATATGGGGACTCACTGGGGTGCTGGATGATAGACTTAAGTGCTCAATGAATTGTTTAGTATGCCTTTTTTTCTGGCTCCCCAAGGAGGCCTACCTGATTGATATGTACTTTGGCTTGAAGTGTTTATATCCTTCCCACCGCCGGCTATACTTCCTTGGCTCCTTCCTTTGCACCTCCTGGCATATGCACTTTTAGTCACTTTTTGTAGATCGTCTTAAACTCCTGTCCTTATCCTATTAAAAAGTGTAATCTTATTGTTCTGTTACCAAAATTATTCTAAATAGCCAAACTACAGGATCATCACTCATAACCCAGCAGATGTCATGAGGAAATTTCACAATTTAACATAAAATTGGCTGAAAATTACTTATCTATTATTTCTTCTTAATACATCACCTACATGGATGATACCTTAATTTTGTCCTCTTACTTGAATCGTATCCAAGCTATCTCCAACATCCAATAACACCTTGAGATTACTGGTGCAAAAAGTGGAAGACAAGACTGAATGAAGAAAAATAAACTCAGAGAACATTCAGATTTAAAAAAAAAGTCTTGGCCTCTCTGTACATCAACAGCAAAGATACTAACTCCCATTCAAGTGAAATACTTAGGACTACACCTCGACAGCAGTCTGATGTGGAAACCCCACACAAGACTTGGACAACTACAAAGACTTCTAGTTCCGAAATTGGTGTTAACTGACTGTCAAAAATAAACTAACCTTACACAAGACTTTTCTGAGACCACTTTGAACATCCAACACTTCCAATCCTTCCAATCCAAAGTTCTCAGGCAAATTGTCAAAACTCCTTACTATCCGCAATGACATCAACATTCCTTTTGTTAACTAGGGATAGATCTCTGGCCAGCTTCAGGTTGTTAACCAACCTGTCATGCCAGTGGCTCCTTAGTTTAGGATCTTGCTTGTGTTGGCTTTTCATGTCCTAGTTGTAAGCATATGCACCTATATACACTTCACAAAAACATAAAATGTGTTCTGTGGTCTCCTTCTCTTCCTGGCAGTATCTGCACAGTGTTACTTCTATTGGTACTTCTATCTGGTGCATGTGCTTCTTTGGGTTACCTTCCAGCAATTCCTTTGTAGGTTTTGCGGATAGTCCTTCTATAAATCTCTTCGCATGCTTCATGCCTATAGTATTGTTCCACCAGGTTTTGGACTCATTATGGACCCATTTTAAGGCGTATCCTCATTCGTGGCAATGGGCTAAGCCACAGTACGGTTCAGGACCTAGAGAGTCAATGTTGGCTCCTTCTTTGGACAACATGTCAATGTTTTCGTTGCTTCTATGCCCCAAGTTCTCAGTTACCTAGGCTAGGGTCAGGTCTGAGTGTCATTGCCTTCTGCCATGACCTCCATGCAGTTCCAAACACTTTTTGCCTTCACCTCGCAAGAGACTAAAGTCTTTAGTGCTGCCTTCTGTCAGATAAAATGGCTATCTTCCTGGAATGTATTTAGCCTTTTTATTTCCCTGGCGCCGTGTCAATCGCTTCGATTTCAGACTGGAAGGCTGTGGGCATTACCAAGGTTTACCATCAGATGTCTTTTGATTCATCGCGAAGACTTCAGCCCCCTTGCCCTTGTCGGTTTTGCAGTTGTAGTCGTTTTTACAGTAATTGGACAACACCCAATTAGATCCATTCAACGCCAGTGAAGTTCAATTTTCCAAAATATTTATATCGGATTTCACTAAGGGCAGACGCGCAAGAATGACTTTTGTCACGTAGGAACATCACCCAATATGAGACTCGTGCTTGAGCACAGCACCTGGTATCTGGGTCCCCGGTTCTTATATTGGGTTTTATTGTATACGCGCGATGTTTTTGGTGACTTTTGTGCCCATAAAACCCCTTGGTGCAACGTTGTTTTTAGCTCCCATTTTGTCTCCGTTTGTAAAGTATTATTCGTATTTGCTTCCGATTTGCTTCCAACATAGAGTACTCATTTTACCTCCGACCAGACCATACATAGTTCTTTAGAATCCGGCGTATTTGCTTCCAACATGTTTGGGGAGACTATCCTTCACTATTCACTATCCTTGAAAAAACAGAAAAAACTTGTCTTTGTTCAGCTTAAGCAACCGTACTTGAGACCTCGTAATCGATGTCGTCGGAGTTTTTCGTAATTCTGCAATGTTAATATGAGAAATGGGATGCTGCCCTGATGATGGTCTTATAAATGCCGAAAACTTAGCAAATGGTCATAGAATCTAATTCTTTTTCTACCTGACCAGAAACCACATCCCAAACACATTAATCGTCATGGTCGATTTCTTCTTCATCAACATTAAAATTTACTTAAATTAATTATGGTTTTTAGTTGAGATAAAAAAGTCAACTTTTCCCTCCTTTTTGCCATTTTTCAATTTTTATCTCAACTAAAAACCTTAATTAATTGAAATATATTAATTGGTCAATCGGCCCTCTAACACTAGTGAATTTAATAAGTAAAAATGAAGTATACCTTCACTCAAGCTCTCCGTGGCCATTTCATTTGTCTCCGAGAATCAAATAGATTCCACGACATTTGAAAAATGGCAAAAAGGAGGGAAAATTCAAAAGGTGGGGTTTAGATGGGAAGTGTCCGAGTGGATCGAAATCACGATAGCTCAAGTGGTAGAGCAGCGGCGTATCTAGCCGAAGATCGTGGGTTCGAATCCCGCTCGTGACACTGACTCAACTAAAAATCTTAATTTATTGAAATATATTAATTGGTCAAGCGGACCACTAGAACTAGAGAATTTATTAAGATTTACATTGATAATATAATAAATAAAATTTTCAATTTGTATGCTTATTTTTATTAACAAAACATACGTTTTTATAATTAGTTTATTGAAGGAAAAGGCTTTATTTATTGGTGAAAATAGTTGAAAATGCATAAGAAGTCACAATTTTCAAATATAGAATAATTCCATGAAAATGTGAGCCTTTGTTGAGGTCACCGAGGTAATAATTTTTCCTTGGGTCTTTTATAAATTCTAATCATCCTGATCTGCTCGTTTATGCTTGCTGGTTTTGTTTGTAAGACGCATTTTGCCGTCTTCAGTGATTGTACTGAGTGTTATTTTGTCAATCTTGGACCAAACCTGAAAGGACAGGCAGCCCAGGATACCAGAAAAATAGTTGAAAAAAAACGTGATTCTAAAAATAGAACAGAATTTAGAAATACATAATTCAATAGATATTGGGTTTTTAACAAAATAGGGAGAATCTTTACCTTTTCAAAAGTTCAAAAAAGGAAACAGGTTTTTTAATGTACATTTTATAAGAAAATAGGAAAGGACATTAAAGTAGGAGTTCACATTTTATACATTTTTATTTCTCCTCAAACAATTAATTATAGATATACACAACGCATAACATTCATATCTTATAAATAAAAACTTGTTTTCCAGTTTAACAATAAAATAATTTCTTAATATTTTTTTGTCCATTTCATTTAGGTTATTTACACTTTTTTCCTGCTGAAACAAATCATTAAAATCTACAAATCAATCAACAAAATTTAGTCTCAATCTGTATTTTGTAAATTCCATCCTGAGTTTTAAACTATTTTAATATAATAAACAATCATTCGATTTAATTTTTAAAGTTTACTTTTTAATGTTATTTAACAGAGAGTATCACATGCAGAATAATTGAAAAGTTTATCGATAGTTAAATCCTTTCTAGAAAAGGATTCCACACAAATCTACCTTGCTATTTTTTTCCATCTATTAGAGCTATTTTTCTTTAATAAATGAGAAATGGTCCTTTTTTCGAAATAAGATGAACACAACTTTGTATGGGCCATATAAAATTTTCTACAATTCAGAAAAAAAATTGATTCGGTGCCTTTTTAAATTTGGGATTATTTTTCGTCCTCAGACACAGACAATTATTCAATACAAAACGAGCTTGGCCGGCCAATAAAACAAAAATTGTTTTGTTGAATTTGGCTAACTAGTTAGTAAAATTCGTCTCTGAACATAGCTTACAAATATCGATCGATGGCTTCACACAAAGTGGTTCACAACACATCTTGAGTATAAAAAAATTTGAGATTAATATATAATTTCATATATATTTATGTATATAATATAATTTGTATCATTTCATTCCTATAAATATACAATTTATTCTACTTACAATAGAAATTGTTACATTTTTGTGGGTTTTTTTTTTGTTTGTAGAAAAACCCACAAAGGGACATTTTGCTAACGACTGTGGAAAAGTATAAAATTAAATGGCTTTTAATACTGTATCAAAAAGTCTTTGCGTGTTCTGGGCGCCTCCCAAACTCAACTGATCACAAAGTCATAAAATCTTCTTTGATTTTTTTTACGAAATGATTAGACAAAATTTCTTACACTATATTATAAAACAAATACTCAGGGTATAAGAATTAACCAGCAAAGAAGATACAAGAATGACAATAGACAATAAAATAATGAGCTTCAAGCTTAAACGATTATAAAAATGAAATAACGATTTCTAAATTTTGTTTTTATTGAGGTGTTCAACTTTTTAAAACTTTATTCTGCCAATAAATAGGGCTTTTGTGTCTAATGACACACTGAGCAAGTAAAACACGGCTTCTTCTTCTTATTTTATTTTTTAAATTTTTTATTTTTTTTTTACATTTTTTATTTTTTAATTGAAATTCAATTGATTTTCCTTAAAAATTAATAAATTACAAGTTGTGGCGTTTAAAAAACATGTGATAAATTGATAATTTCATTTTAAATTTCTTATCCTGCACTACAAGTCTAACGGATTGTCTCAATTTGTTGAAGAGATACGCAATTTTTCTCCCACCCGAGTGCAGTTCGCTCGTTTCTCCCTTGCAGCTCACACCATCAAGCAGCCCAGTCGAAAAAAAGTATCTTTCCCAATGGAATGCGCGACAAGCGAGATCGTCTGATCAAAACTTATGTAAATCCCCTGATTGCCCTCTTCCCTCCCCCCCATCGCAAATGTAATCTGTCTGAACTGGTTCTGGTGATTGATTTGTTTTCTTGTCCTATGAGGCTGTTAGAACCTGGCCGGTGGAGCTTCCCCCAACGGCTCGACCTTTCCCTATAACCTGAAAAACAAAACGAACCCTTGAAAAGATTGTGCTGTAACATAACAGTAATAAACATTAATGGCAGTACGGTTAGAATGGATCGAAAGATAGGTGTGGACTTTTGGAAGCGGGATCAAAAGATATGTTCAGGTTATTAAGGACAGAGAGGTTATAGGGTTTTAGTAGTAAGCAGTTTTGACGACTTGTCAAAGGACTTTTGATTTGAATTTATATATACATATATTACAAATGTGATCATAGTACATTTCTTCACAAGGTCACAGCACTAACACAAATGCCAGAACCAAATGCGGGCACTGAGTGTGACGGGTTAAGTGGCAAGGAAGGTCTCGAGGCCATCGTCGATTAAGGCGACATGGCGGGTTCTAGGGATGGGAATGTGTAGACAGGGCTCGAGCAGTAGGGCTAGGATGGATCGAGAGGTTAGCGTGAAACGTTTGGAATCGGGAACGGAATCAGTTCGTTGACAAAAAGAACGTTGTGGATAGAGAGGCTAGTGACGTAGTAAGGAGCTTTGACGATTTGCCTGAGGATTTTTGATTGGAAGAATTGGATGCGCTGAATGTTCGATGGCTTGGTAGAACCCCACAGCTCAGTACGTCCAAAGAGGTCGCAATGAAGTCTTGTAGAATGTTAGTTTAATGTTGATAGTCAAGGCAATCTAGAAGTCTTCCTAATTGTATAAATCTTCTGTTAAATTGCTGCCCAAGTCTGGTGGTATTCAACGTCAATCTGCTGCCTAAGTGTTTGACTTGAATGGAAGTCGGTAGCTCCTTGTTGATGTACATAGTGTGGAAGGAAAGGCACACAATGTAACATTGGGTACATTTTTCCTTATTCCGATTTGACACTAATCTTTGATAAACTCATAGCGTTTTTACATGTTGTAGGTTGCTTGGATAGAATTCGGGTTAGAAAACAGAATCGATCATGTTTATACACATAAGTAGTAATGTTATGAGTTGAGATGTAGGAAAGTCTACATATAAATGTTGGGGGGGTCATAAGCTTGTATTAGGATGATATTTGGGTTCTAGTTGCAGCACCCCACTCTGAAGCACTGACGAGTTAAGTAGGGGGTGGGTAGGAAGTATTTAAGTTTATAAGGGATGCCTAGGTGCCGGACAATATCGTGCTACATCTAGGAACGCATCCAAGCAAAACTTCTTGTTTTCTAAAGCAGAGGGAATTGTGTCAATTCTGAAACGTTGCTGAATTGTGGAATAACGAGGATGGAAAACATAATTGTTGAGAATTCTGATATATGATGTTAATCTAGGATGATTAAACATTTTAAGAAGTCTTTTTGTAAGGTATTGGTTGAGATAAAACAGTCAGTGTCACGAGCGGGATCGAACCCACGACCTCGGCTAAATACGCCGCTGCTCTACCACTTGTATTTAGCCGTCGTGGGTTCGAATCCCGCTCGTGACACTGACTGTTTTATCTCAACCAATACCTTACATAAAGATTAATTAATTGAAAGATGTTATTTAGTAAATCGGACCACGAAGTCTAGTGGATTTAATAAGCAAAATGAAGTATATCTTCACTAAATCTCTTCGTGGCCATTTCATTTGTTGCCGATAATCGAAAAGATTACACGACATTTGAAAAATGGCAAAAAGGAGGGAAAATTCGACAGGTGTGTAGAGGTATGGTATGGTGGAAAGGATACTAGGAAGGGGGGTTTGTATTCCACAGGCACTGCAGCCTTCTGGCTTATTGTACCTTCCTAGTTCCTTAGTTCAGTCAATAGACTCAATCCTTTTTCTTAGAAGTATTAGGTCCTTGACTGTTGCTGCTGCAATTTGATTCCCTAAGTCTTTTCCATACGTTAGGTTAAACCTCCATTGAGCTGTTGCTTCGCATTCGAAGATGATATGAGTGGCGTTTCTTCCTCCTCATTACATAATCTTCAAATGGGGTCATCGCTGTATATACCCATGTTATGTAGATGTTTTCTCAGATACCAGTGACCGGTTAATAGTCCTACCACTCCTCTGAGTTTGGCCTTCTCCAATGGCAGCAGTGTTTTTGCCAGTTTCGGTGAGGATTGTTTCATCATACGTTTACTATGTCTAGCACCACTAGAGTTTTTCCACTTCTCCTTTTGTTTTCTTGGATCCATTCTGAGATGGAGGATTCTATATTTGTGTTTGTTATCCCAAGGATAGGTTCGGAGCTATGCATGGTCTTGCAGATCCTCCTCTGGCCAGTCTGTCTGCTTTCTCGTTATCCAAAATCTCCTTGTGCCCCAAGACATCATCAGGTTGTGTTGTTTCCCCAGGTTTTGGAGATTTTGGATACATTCACTGACTAGTTTTGATGTGATTCTTTTACATGCTAATGCTTTAATAGCTGCTTGGCTGTCTGATCTTACGAGGATTTTTTGTCAGTGTACCCTCTTTTAAGATTTTCCAGGGCACAAGCGTTGATGGCATGTATTTCCGCTTGAAAGACCGAAGTGTACTTCCCTAATGAATTCGATTGCTCATATTTTGGGCTTGTACAGTAAATGCCTGATCCGGTTCCTTCGTTTGTTTTGGTGACATCTGTGTACCATATCATTGTATCTGATGCTCTCCTGTGTTCTTCCTCTCCTTTATAGTCCGTTGAGACTTTATAGGAAGTTGTGAAGATTGTTCCGGGATCATGTAGTCAGTCCCCATTTCTAATAATGGGTGTCTGGTGTAGAGGTGGGAAGTTGGTGTCCGAGTGGATCGAAGTCACGATAGCTCGCAGCGGCGTATTTAGGTCGTGGGTTCGAATCCCGCTCGTGACACTAACTTTTTTATCTCAACCAATACCTTACAAAAAGATTAATTAATTGAAAGATATTAAAGATGTTATTTGGTCAATCGGACCACGAAATCTAATGGATTTTACGGAATCGATTTTGGATATCACAGGAAGAAGGCTGATGGATCTGTAGGAGAATGTTTGGTAGGGTTTATGCGCTTTAGGAATGAGAATGACTAATATTTCCATAAAAGAGGAACACAGGATGGCATTATGTTTGTACATTGTAGTTTAAAATACTAACACCTTCCAAGGAAGGTTAATTATCGATAAATTAGTTTTGTAGTTGTTCTAATATTGCAAAACCTGAACAGACTGTTAAAAAAGGTTTATAATAATTAACCTATTAATTTAATATTTTTGTTTATATAATGAAGAATATACCTTTCTGATACATAGCAAGTAGAGTTGACGCGAAGGGGTTCCCTTCGTACAGCATACGAGACCAAGATGGCTAATGCGACTAGAACCATGGCAAGTGCATTCATGATGATTCCTTCTTCAGGCCATAGAGTATAGTTAATCCTAGAAACAAATCAAAAAACCAAAATCACTAAAACCGTTTGAAAATGAATAAAAAAACACAATAGATTTTAGTTGAACATGCACTGATTTAAAAAACATCCTGATCTATATAAACAATCCAAAGTCCTGTTTATTCAAAGAATTAATTTACATATTATACACAGTTGAAGAGAATCATCTCGAATATTTTTGTCCGAGGAGATATCCGTTAATGAAGCCGCATTCAGATGAAACTAAAGCCAAAAGACAGAAATTATAGAAGGAATACATTCACTGTGGTTGACATGTTTTTTTTTTTCGTCAGAGAGAATTAACAAGATGTGAAAACAATAGACATAAAACGGTGTTCAATACGAAAATGTGTTCAGACATATAGTGACATTTAGTGCACTTTGAATTTTTTTGGCCATCAAATTACAATATAAGCAAAAGCACTCCCCTTGTAGTAAAGAAAATTGTATGTGATCAAGAAGCTTGTATAATATATAAAATTTGGAAACGCATTTATACAAAAAGCGCCAGTTTATTTTATTTAAATATATTTAATCTTTTCTTTTAATATAGATTTTTTTTGTAAATAAAAGAAAACACTTGCTTCCCAGACATGCCAAATTATTTTTTTTTTTTTTTTCAGATGAAGGAAAGCATAATATTGATTGGTGCTTATGCAGACAAAAGCACACTTAATGGTACATTTATTTGAAAAAAGTTAAATTGTGTGAAAGTTGTTTATTTTAAACTAAAAAAAAGGAAAGCAAAAAGTGATCGGTGCAATGTGAAAAACGAAATAAAAAGTAATCAAAAAGCGTTTTATTATTTGTTCGGTGTCTTCTTACCTTTTTTATTTTTCTCAAATAAAATGTCAGGCTCTTGTCAAGAAAAACTAAAAACACTATAGGCCAAAAATTACATGTATTTATATCAAAAAGAACAGATAAAGTACTGGCTTGCAATATAATTAATCCTTTTATATATTACACATAACTTCCGTCTTTTCATAATACATACATCGATTTGTTACACAACATTGGGCAAACAAGCCTAGCGAGTTTTATGTGAAACTTAAGCCTAACATGATAAAAATCAAGAATAAAGAGACTATGATATTTAACAATTATAAAACATGTGCTAATGTACTCTATTAATAAAAATTCCTTTTACAAAATTGAACACATCCATAAAAGCACACTGAAGAACAACAGTAGCAAGCACGAACAAAATTGAACTATAGATAAAATAAGAAGGTTTTAAAAAAAATATTTGAATAGAGTTGAAAAGAGGAAAAACAGCATCATTATTGTCATTTATTTAAAGGCAACTTTTAGCAAAAGAGAAAAAGTCAGTGATATCTCGATTAAGACATCCTGTAAAACTCAAATCATTTCAATTATTACTGTGGTTTGCTTTGCTTATTTTGTTTATTAAAAAATAATAATTTTAATGCTCTTAATAATACCTGATGTGAGAAAGTTAACTATATGAATTTGCAAAATATTATTTTTTTAGTTTATTCTCTTTCTGTATTATACGTAATATGTATTTTGCGCACAACTTTTATGTCTTTTGTAATTTATCTGACTACATTGTTGACTCATGATTATACAACAAAGTTTGAGCCGGTTTTGTGTAGACTAAACATCCAATATTAATCAAAGCATAACGCATGAAACATTAATGTTAATTTTTAAAAATAACTCTAAGCATTATCGATGGTCGAATTTTTCAAAAGCATTTGAACAGCAATGTTTTCAAGTATCACAAGGCACATCGTCTCCCCCATAACCCTCACTATTAAAACAAATCGGCTTAAATAAATTTAAAAATATAAAAAAAGAATTACAAAAATAATCAAAAATATTCCTAGAGATTTGACTTACTTCGAGAGAAGTGGCACAAGTGAAATGTTTTTTAAAAATAAACTGATATTTCCTAACTAAGAAAAATTCATAACACCGCAATTTTACCAAACGATAGGTTTTATTATAGAAACTCCCTCTTGTCGCTAATTTAAACTATTACTACAGTGCAATATTTGAACATTTTCGAAATATTAATAAAACTTGATAGAAATATCACTTAAAAGCGTTAGAAAATAATATAAAAAATTGTCTGGAGTATTTTGTTCGTTGTTGCTTGCACTTTACCAAAATTTCATTATAGCTATATTAAAATATAATAATGCCAATTTTTCCATAATAAACATGGCGACATGTAAAAATAAAAGCCAAGTATTTTCTCAGAAAAAATAAATAATGGTCCCAGTTTTGTTCAATTATGACAGGTACCATAAACACCTAATGCCTTCTTGTACAACTATTCAACAGTTGGCATAAACGGATATAAAACCTTGTTATTATTTCTGGAGGAAAAAGTCGAAAAAAAGTTGTTACACAAAAATCGGTGACTTCACAAGAGAAGGTTGAAATTATTCAGAAAATGATTTTCGGGTTGAAGAAAAATCACAGTTCTCTGTCGGGTACGAGAATTCTCCCGAAATATCTCAGGTCGTTGGACCTCCGGAGTACGACGATGACGAAGATGCCTGTCGCAACGAGTACCATCGCCAGCGTGTTCATCACTATCACTTCGTCCGTTAGCGTCAATTGGGAACTGCGAAAAATTCACATTTTGGCTCAACTTTGGCAAAAGTGTCAGTTGTTAAAACAAAGGTTGTGATCTGTCGGTCGGGTGAATGGGGAAAAAAGGAAAAATTGAAAAAGAAAAACGGCCTTGCACATAGGCCCAAACGGTCAAGTGACTATCTCCTGTGCATGATTTTGAAAAATGGTCATATTTACCCAAAATTTAAGTACGCCTCTTCCGACAGGCCTGTCAGGCAGGTCGCTACCGCTAGCACGAATGTAGTGAGGCCGAATGTAGCATGGATCGGAACGAGGGATGCTCTGAAGTTGGCTGTCGAGCTGTCGCAGCACATCAGCAGAAGAAAACTGAAGAAGCCAACGACAAACTGAAAATAAAATAAAACATTCAGCTTTCTTAAAGGCATCACAAATTTTCCATTTTAATACTTTTTTAAATTTATTTATAGCCTATGAATATTCGTATTTACTACAAATGTACCCGGAGGGCGGAGACACATATCGTGAGCAACCAGCCAATGATGGCACTCGGTGAGAGGGATAAGGGGTAAGGGTCTCCAGGCCGGTTATCGGGATGAAAATGTGAAGAGAGGGCTCGAGCAGTAGGGTTAGGATGGATTGAGAGGTTGGTGTGAAACTTTTGGAATCGGGAACGGAATCAGTTCGTATTCGTAAAGGAATGTTGAGATCGTTGTGGGAAGTGAGGTTAGTGATGTAGTAAGAAGATTTGACCATTTGTTTAAGGACTTTTGATTGGAAGGATTGGATGCGCTGGCTGTTGGATAGTTTGGCAAACTCCAGAGTTCCACACGCCACTTAAGAAAGCACATGACCCAGATAGTAGCACAGACAGAAGAAACACTGTGTAGAACGCATTTTACGTTTTTGTGAAGGTAGGTACGTTATTGTGCATAGTGAGGTTAGTGACGAGGCAAGGAGTTTTGACGATTTGTCCGAGGACTTTTGATCTAAAGGATGGAAAGATTGGATGGGCTGGATGTTGGATGGCTTGGCAGAACCCACAGTTCCACTCCGTATGGTGCGGGTTCGACGTTAGTCTGCTGTCTAAGGACATTCCTAAGAATTTGACATGAATGGAAGTTCGTATCTTTGGTCAAGACTGTTTTTTCTATACGTACGATGAGTACAGTTTTCTTCATTCATTCTTGAGTTCCTCTTTTTCCACCAGTCTTCGATCAGCTCAATATGTTCCTGGAGTTTGGGCAGGATTGGAGTTAGAGGACAAAATGAAGGTATTGTCCGTATAGGCGGTGATGATCGGATGAGGGTGTGTAGGTAGGTCAGCAGTATAGTTGATATAAAGGTTGGGACTTGAGGGACACCATCTTGTCTGATTTTCGAGGACTCGTTGCCGTACGTCACTCTGAATCAGCGGGCAGTCAGGTAGGTTTGCATGAGTTAAGTTTATAAAGCGGTGCGAGACCTTATAAAAAGCCTGTGCTTCAAGCAATACTCTTTGTACTGTAGAGCGGAGGGGATGGTGTTGAAGATTCTGAAGCCTTGTTGGATCAAAGACTGATGTGGACTGAAGCCGAATTGTTGAGAGGGAATTATTTTATGAGTACCTACAATGGGGATTAATCGCTTTAAAATGAGTCTTTTGAGAATTTTGGAAATTGCAGGAAGAAGGCTGATGGGTCTGTAGGAAGTTGGTAAGCTGTAGGAATGAAAATAAAGGCGGAAATAAAAGTGGATAATGTCCACAAAAATACGTTTCGTTCTGAAAATAAATACAAATTCCTTCAGTTCTAGATTATAAGTTGTAAAACACATGCAGATCATTCCGACACCTCGAATATTTTTCATGCAATTCGTACGTCTACATTGTGAAATGTTTGTTTTATTGTTTTGTACAATACAGTAAGGATAGATGTAGAATGTGTAGCAATTCTCATTTGCTGACTGGATATTGTGGCGAGTCAGGAAATATCTGATCGTTTTTGCTCATTTTACTTTCATCCTACAAGGAGTTGAGCCTGTTCATTTTGGTCGATAGCTTCCCACATAAAAATTTTATTTGAGTTCTTGTCAAGGAGTTTGTTCATTGCTGATAAAGAACTTTTTCACTTTTTACGAGTTTGTCTTTCCTTTTCCACTCCACTTAAGTAGAGTGAAAGCCGTATTTTTCTTTTACTTCTTTGGGTGCAATATTTATTTGATTTTTCGTCTGTATTGTTGTGTATGTTTACTACCTTACCTTCTTTATTGCCTTTAATATTTGATCATTGGGGTTAACCTCGAAGGTGGAATTTAATCATTCAATCATGTATAGGGTTTGATGTGTTTCTACTGATCAATAAACCCCAACCTTAACATTTACCTCCGGGTCCGCATAGTCTCTCACTATATTTTAATGCAAAATCTATTCATAATGATTCTGTACAGATCGAGAGATGCGGTCTTGTGTGATGTCGGTTTAGAAAAAAATTCTTTATCGTGCCAACGTTTCGATCTTTATTGAGATCATCTTCAGGGCCTGGGATTTATAAACATTGTTTACATTACAAATACATGTAAGAAGTGAATATAAATTTTCAATCTTTCTTTCCAATCCTGCCCCACTCCTTCAAAATCCGACATACATAAACAAAAAACATTAATGTCTCACTAACATTCTCACACGACACACAACAATGAAACATATACACAGAAAACTCATCACTGAAAGGTCATGGATCCAGCGGCCATGCATTCGAATCCGACATACTTACAAATGGGCTGTTTTTCAAAAACACCGCACCCTGAGGGTTTACGACCTCTGCTGTTGCGAACCCCCGTTAAAAAAAAAAAAAAATCTACACAAAAACTCACACTTTGAGTGAGTACAAATACTTTGATTATACCTAAAATTTCTATTTGTACATCATTGTATAAATTCGATCTCATATCTTGCATGTATTTATATAATTTAAACAATGTTTACAAATCTCAGGCCCTGAAGATGATCTCAATAAAGCTCGAAACGTTGGCACAATGAAGAAAATGTTTTTTCTAAATCCACGTCACACAAGACCGCATCTCACGATCTCTAAATAATCATTAATTAACGGGCACTATATACACATTTATATATAAAATAGCAAAATGGAAAGCAGAGCGAGAATAGCTGTGTCGGGACATCAAGGACGACAAAACTGCTGGAATGATTGATAAATTACTACATTTTTGACGTTTAAATTTCTTTTTGTATTCATAAAACTAATAAAGTGTTCCTATTTTCATAAACGTTAAATGTTTATTTTTATTCTACAATTTATATGCTTACATTTTATTAATGTAATCAACAATTTATATTACCTGAAGTGCGAAGAGCCCCATTGTGACGAACCCCATCCAAGAATGAATGGAATAAAAGTTTGGAACGGGCGGGTCGGCTAGATTATGAGAGTCGAGAACCGCCATGAATCCGAGGACGACGCAGGGTATCGCCAAGGCGTGGAACACAGTGTGCAGCAGTTTGACGTAGATCCTTCGGCAGCATCTACTGATCCTGTACAGCAGCATAGCTGAAAAGATTAGGACGAGCCGTTTAGTCCATTGGATTTCAAAAGATTTTTGTAAATGGGTCGGAGTTGACGGAAACGACGGGAAAACCGTTCGAGACCTCAAGGTGTATTTAAGCTTAACTAGAATGGCCTCGGAGACTTGCCAAGCCGGTGAATAATTTAAATGAAAAAAAAAAATGGCCACACCCTTCTTCTCTCTTCTCGGGCGACTATTTCAGAAAAATTCTTCGACAAGGGCGTAAATCAACCGTTACAAAAATTATGTAAACGTTCTACAGAGATTTACAATGTATGTGGTTTCCTTTATCGCACGTTATTCTTCCTTGGGAAAATTGGCGTAACAACCCCGGCCGGACATCGCCAATTGGCACTGGGCAACTTGCTAATTCCACTTAGTTGTGAACGAGGCGTTATATAAGCGTGGAAGATGGGACTTAATGGCAATTTCATTTTCTTGTTTTCCATTGTTAAAATGCTAACTAGCAATTTTTGTTTCCACCTTTTCTGAATAATTTCTAATTTTCTAAAATATTCAAAAAGCTAGCACTTGAATTAATGAAGATTTGATGTTAACATACAGTGAAATGAACTGAATAAAACCTATAATAAAAAAATCCTACAAATAAGAATTCAGGGAAAATAGTAATAATAAATCCATTAGATTTCGTGGTCTGATTGACCAAATAACATCTTTCAATTAATTAATCTTTATGAAAGGTATTGGTTGGGATAAAAAAGTCAGTGTCACGAGCGGGATTCGAACCCACGATCTTGGGCTAAATACGCCGCTGCTCTACCACTTGACCTATCGTGACTTCCATCCACTCGGACACCAACTTCCCATCTCAACCCTTCTTTCGAATTTTCCCTCCTTTTTGCCATTTTTGAAATGTCGTGTAATCAGGATTCGATTCTCGGGGACAAACGAAATGGCCACGGAGAGCTTTCGTTAAGACTTCATTTAACTTATTAAATTCATTATATTACGTGGTCCGATTGACCATAACATCTTTCAATAAATTATTCTTTATGTAAGGTATTGGTTGAGAAAAAGATTTGAAAAATGACAAAAAGGAAGGAAAATTCAAAAGGTGCGGTTGAGATGGGAAGTTGGTGTCCGAGTGGATCGAGATCACGATAGCTCAAGTGGTAGAGCAGCGGCGTATCAAGCCGAAGATCGTGGGTTCGAATCCCGCTCGTGCCATTGACTTTTTTATCTCAACTAAAAACATTAATTAATTATAATACCTTACATAACGATTAATTAATTGAAAGTATTTGTCTTGTGCGATCATAATCACAAACTGTAAACTTAAAAGTCGAGAAAAGGAGGAAACAAGCTTTCTTATAAATTATTGGTAATGAAAGGATTTAATAATATTGTGGACTATGTTGACTCTGTTTAGAGGGAGTTGGAATTGTAAGGAGGGAAAGTGGTAAGGGGACAGCTTTACGGTTTAGCAAAGGAAGAGAATTTTAGAGATTTATGGCTCGAGCTAGGAAGGATAGTTCAAGTGTGGACACTTTATGACGAGGAAAGTATAGGACATTGAGAGATAAGCGGGGGTTAAGAGAGTGGATAGAAGATTTGAATTGAAGTCGCTGGAAAATATAGTGAGGTCGACGAGAACTTATGGTTTGGTAAAGGAAGGTGGGATAAATCCAGGATGGGTCTGAATAAAGGTGTAGCACCTTAGAAGGCACTTGCACTCAGAAGAAACTCTGTGTAGATACTTCCAGGATGCAGAGAATACCGCAGAACAAGTTTTGTTTTCGTGAGGGTCAATGTAGGTGTAGATTCTTGCAACTAGCAGATGAAAAGCTGCAAGATCCTACACTAAGGGGTCTCTGGCAAAGCTATGGAGGTTGAATCATAACCTGAAACTGGCCAGTGAATGATGGCTATGGATTCCTATTACTGTTTTAAAAAAAAGCTTGCTGATGCAGATCAATCATGTTGATCACAAGCTTACCAACGTCACATAATAAAAAACATAGGAGTATACTTAAGTCGTATTATCCATCATTTTTATTAAGACATGAGAATTCCAAGCAGTATATGACAGTACGTGAAACCACAATTGGCCAGATTACCCGCGTTCAGCCCTCACTCATTACATTTTTTTCTTAAGTCGATTTCATCCTTGGGCTTAGAATGTCACATATTTACCTCCTAGTAGCATTTCAGCACGAGCCTGACGAGGAAACCGAAAACGAGGAAATTCATAATTATCGTTAATACACTCTCATTGGAAATCCAATTTAGAAATAACACATTAGCCTTTGTTCCTTTCTTTCAAACCAATATTTCTTTTTTCCCTTTCTCCTCTTTATAATTCTTTTCTATTATCGATTGTATTCAATCGTATGTATCTACTTGTACACTTCATTGTTCTGTGTATTAGATTTTTTCAGCCCCAGCTCATTTTTTCATCAACTTTGTGTCACATATCAAATAGAAATGCCCTTGTGCCCAAAAACAATTTTATCACACAATCAGTAAAAAGCACCTAGATTTTCTCTTAATTTGACAAATTTATAGCTTTTAAAGTTCCCTCGATTTGACAAAACACCTGTCAGACGTCCTGATGTCTGGGTTAAGCAGCGGTGGGGCAAGGTACCACAAAGCGAAAGGCTAATTACGGTTAACCGTGTGAATCGCCTGTTTATCTTAGTCAGCGATGATTGACTTATGAGAAACATCCGCTCTTTACCACTTTTAAAGTGTATTATCCAAAATCATTCATCTTTTGGAACTTGTTCCATTGATTTTGTCCAATTATGAGAGTCTGATATTTCGCCACGCCAAGAAATATTTTTCATCCGTCGTCCAGTGGCATTTGAAATCAAAAAGACCTCATGATAAGGGACTTTTATGATATCGTGCTCCATCTGCTATGTAATTTATTCGTCTAACTATCAAATGACATTTTATTGTTTTATTAATTATTGAATTAATTTTACACATCTGCCTTTCTTATCTATTTTTATCTTATACGCCCATCAACTACAACGGCAACACGGGCACCTGCTCTTGGGCCAAAGCCCCTTATGCAGAGAAAGGTTGCTAGATGTGTCCCACATACTGGAAACATGTCATACCTTGGCTCCCTACAGGGAGTGGGTAGGCATGCTATCCAATCTGAAAATGGTACTCGAGCACTGCAGGGGGTTTCTGGGTCCCCTGTTCCGCTTTTTGGGGGAAATTGAGATTTATTGTATATAATATGTCTAATGTGTTGTGTGTCTATATGTTTTGTCTGAGTGCATGTATTTATTAGCGTGAATGGCGAGAGGTGAGGGTGAAATATAACGTCATCATGGCCCCTCGAACGTTGAGAGCGTATGAGTGTGTGTTCGGGGTCGATGGTGGAATATTTATAAAAGTACTCCATCGACCCCACTCTAGAATAGTTTGAGTATAGGTCGGTGGAGGAATATCAAGAACTCCATCGACCAAACGGAATCAGTGTACTGTATGGATGTATTTATGTGTATGAATGTATTTATNAAAAAAAAAAAAAAAAAAAAAAAAAAAAAAAACCTACATTGGCCATTTGTACCTATAATTTATTTACATCTCGGTATTATATTTTACCCTTTTACATCTTCATTATTAATTTATAAAACAGCATAAACGAAATTGTTGTAGCTTCGTGACTAAAATTAAAAAAATCAAAATATAAATAATATATTCAACTGAATTGTAAGTTTAGATGCTGAATGGATATTTTTATTGCCATGTCAACGTTCTCGTTATTTTGGTGATGGTCACATTGTCTCTTAAGAAATATATATAATCGTGCAGGTTTGTCTATTATTAATTGGGTTAGAAAAGAAAATCTGTTAATAAAATAATTAATTTATTGTAAATAAACTTTACAAGGCAATGTAAACGTCAGATTGAATTTACGAAACAGGACCAAATTTGTTGAACTATTTAATACTGATCATAGTTCATAAAGATGTAACTACATTGTAGTTTAAGTTCCATAATAGCGAAACGATAGGGAACGTGTAATGTCCCATTAGTTGAACACAGGGGCTTAACTAATCGGTGACAGTTGTACAAGACTTTCCCCATTCGGCTCTCGGATGATGCTGGAAAGTGGAAATAACAGGCAGCCCCGTAGAGCTGTTGTTTGAATTTAACAAAGCGGAAACGTCCAATTCCGCCACTGGCAGTCTGTCTTTATTGTACAGGTTCGGTTAAAACGGAAGCACAGTGGACGAGGGTCGTTTGTCCAGCCTACGCTTTTTTTTTAAATGGACAATTAACCGAGAATAACTAACAAAGAATTGTTGTTTGATAATAAAACTGAGAAAGAAAGAAGGATGTCTTTAAAAATTTTGCTTAATAGCAATCTCGTCCTGGCAAGCAATATTTCGTTATAAGAGGTCCTTTAAAGTACCACCGAGGACGGTAAAGTAAGCACGTTTCTCATAAAACAACCCAGACCTATAAAATAACTTTTTTTCAGTCTCTGTATGACTGCAGAAACAAAAATTCTTTATGCAAAAGATTTCATAGTACTACCCAATTGAAAAGCAAAATACACGATTAACATCATATATCGACTATCACCGATCTCCGGTTAACCTAATTAAAAAGTGTTTGCTGAATTCCAAAAAGTGTTTTATTTGGAAGAAAGTATGCAATTAAACTTTTAACAACCAAATTTTTAAGCAGTTTATTTGATATGGAAGCATTTTATAAAATAATAATGTAATATGCGAGTCAAGAGCACGAGCGGTAGATGGCCCTCAGACAACCTGAGCAGGAGACGAGCGATCGTTCTCACGCGACTGAGGATTGGCCATACGCGGTTATAATATAAGCCATAAGCCCGCGCAGGTGCCCCTTATGCAGAAAAAGATTGCTCGATGTGTCCAACATATAGAGGGGTGTCATGCCTTAGCTCCATACAGAGAGCGTGTAGGCATGCCGCCGGATTCAAGAATGGTTCTCGGACACGGTGGCGAGTTTCAGGGTCCGCTTT